CTTTGAATTAACTGAGCAGTTATAAGCGGAGCTGCAGCACATTCTCTAGAACAGCTGATCTGTTAATCCTACTCTAAGTACCAGACGAACTTACTACTGCGTTACTCAACTTTATTTTGTAGAATTGTCGTTCGTAGTAATGCATTAATCATTTGTCTACAGTTACCTGCATCACTATCAACAGTCAGTAAGTCAGCCTGATTACTTAAACGAAGTCCGAGGAACATGATAACTTGTCAAAACCTAGATATAGCAATTGAACTAATCTAAACAAGGAAACAGGCAGCGATCAAGTGAATCCCTAACAGGATGATAAAAGTCTGGTCCAAAATATATATTCTTCTTTCAGGGGATCCAAGAGACATCAGTCAGCAAACGGAACGACTGACTTTAATTCAACCTTAGTCCCGCACCAAAAAGGAACGCTTACGGATCCTGTGCTTGGCTGCTTGGACGACACCGGAGGAACTCGTGGATGAGTTGGTTCGGTTAGAATAGAACTGCCTGGAGAAATCCCTGTCTTTATTGGGCATCTGGATAGAATTAGTCATCGACGAGGTTACACACACTACTACGTTTTTTCAAAAGACTCAGGGTGAGAGCCAGTTGTTTTCTGCAGAGACTACGAAAACTACTATTGCTGGAGACTCGTTACTTTACACTGATCATACTTATTTGAAGCATGACACGCTGATTCTGAGTACTCAGCGTGATTGTTCTTAAAGATATCAAAGTGTTCCGCTTGGCAGACCTGCAGTGCCTCGCAACCTCAGAATAAGCATAGAAACGGCTGCCTATTTCATGCGTAACATTAATATTTCATTGAAATGTTTAAACGTACCTTTGTCATGAAACCGGTCAAACTTTAGTCCGGTATAGAAACGACCGCTTGATATGGTCATTTGACAGTGGCTTTGGACCACAGTTCTTCAAAAAGCAACAGATTCCTTTAAACATAACTTCGACAAAATTCATATTGGCTCCATCAAGAAACCTGTACTTTGAGTATACGGTAATTGACAGAACAGAGAAAAGCTGGTTAAAATGGTACCGATATGTTAAACAAGCGCCACAAAGCAAATTTCCACCAAAGTTTGACAATGCATGTGGAGGAATAGAGAAGAAGAAAGCAAATTAAAGGATAGACTGACAACGTTAGAAATGCCACAGAGAAAAGAGGGACCAAAAACGCGTAACCGTCCTACAGCAGACTAGTGTTAATAAGCATTTGTGAAGTAATGAACCATCGATCTTTCATAGCTTGAAACAGGAAAATAGAAGATCTGGAAATACCGCTGCTAGTAAATCCAACATGATGTCGAATCATGTGTACTTGGCAGTGAAAATGTAATAGCAAACATGCCAGAGCGAATTTGGGAGCCGGGAAGATCTGCTCCGACCTTTGGAATGATAGTGGCGCATGTACAGAGTAACACGTTATTAAAGTTACGCGTTTAAAGTAATTCAGTCGCACAGGTGCACCCTGTGACTACGGATTCGAACCGAGGTATTAAGGACTCTGCTTCTTTGGAGTTATTGGAGTTATTCACTATAGTAATAAGCATTGTTGCGTCTAATTCTTGAACAGTTGATTGACTGGTCAAAGAAGATCAGGCGGTGATTAACTGAAAATACCATAACATCCTGCCAATGGATCACATAGGACGAGCTATGTGGTGGATGTCATTTTCAGCACAACGCATGCATCGGCGTTCAGTGAATTTGGAACAAATTAGCTGTGCCCGCTGTACAG